ATTTCATGCAAGAACATGCGCTAGGTAGCAGCCAGAAGACTCACAAACACACCTAAGCCCCTAGTGTCACTTCCCCAGCAGCCCTTGTGTTCCACAGTCCCCCCTGCTTCCCAGGACCTTCCCCTGATGCAGGCTTACATTAGACCCTTGTAGAACTTCTCACAACCCTGCTCCTGGTTTGAATTGCCTGATCTGGCCTTCACCTGGGAACCCCAAAGCATGCACCCCATAGACCCTAATAAAGGCATGTGCCCCAGGTCCTGCCCCTCTGTGTGCACTCTGCCGTGACCTTCCCGTGTGACCCTCAGAGCATGCCCCGGACTTCCGCCAGGACTCGCAGTGATGAAGTCTATTTCAGTGTCTCTGGTGCTGTGGTGTTGAACCAAGATTCACCATCAGGCACCCCGCACTCCACATAAATGTTATTTTGATGAAGTCATAAAAGGGTTTTAGGAAAATAAAAAAACACTACTGCTTGAGGTCCTGGGGGGCAGCCAGGGTTACAAGGAAGGTGGGCGAGGAGACACTCAGAGCAGATGCTGAAGATACAGGGGAGCTGGCTGGTCATGAAGGGAGGCTCTGAGCGCGCACGGTGGGAGACCAGCATCAGCCCCGACTGGGAAGCAGCCTGCACCGTGATGAGGTGGGCGTCCAGCCAGGGCCGACTGGAGAGGCTTGCCCAGTTGGCAACACCTGACCTCAACAGGAATGTGAGCCACAGTGGGCCTCATCCTGATCACCTTTTATTGTTTTTGGGGGGTGGGAGGTACAGTGTTTCCAGGGGCTGAGTCCTGAACGACTTGCTTGGCAGTATGTTGATTTCAGAAACCAGTGTTCTCTCAGATTACATCCGTTTGTCACTGTTCTAACATGCTGTGAGGAGGGACAGTATAACATAGTCATCGAAGTTCCATAGCTTCCATTCTTTTATGTGACCTTGAACAAATTAATCTCCTGGTGGTTTAATTTCTTTATGTACAAAAGGGGGTAACTGTAGCACCTAACTACCTCACCAAGTTGTGATGAAGATTAAGAGTTAGGAACTTAATGTGCATAAAGCACTTATAACAGTACCTGGCACACCTACAAAGTGACAGCCATGGACGTTGTAATCCATGAACTATATATTTACATACATCTGTGATGACCTCCTTAGGAATCCTTGGTAACAATTGTTGGGTGAGTAGGTGCAGAGATTTTTAATGCTTTCAATACAACGTTAAAATACCCACCGGAAGATAAATTAAATCCCCACCACCAGACCACCAGACACTTGTGTTTACTGCCTCTTACTTATGTCACGAAGCATGACAACCAAGCTCCACTCAGCGACCACTTACAAGCGCCCTGTTTGCTCACTGACCCAGACTGTAGGAGTGGCACCTGGTAATCTGTACTTTAAAGACACTCCCATTTGATTTGATCGATAAATCAATCAATTGCTAAAACTTTAGTTTACCCAGCCTCTTTGCAACAGCAACACTGTAGACCAGGTTTTCTTGAAATTCCCCTGAACTTCTAAAACCTCTCTCCTACCTCATTTCCTATTTCTGTACCAGCTTGTTTTTTTTAAAAAACAGATTATCTTATGTCACTGGAAGCCCCAAGTGGCAGTGGCTCTGAGCATGGGGACCAATGAAATGTAACGAGAGCCCCATAAGCTAGGGGCCTGCAAGAGTATCAGGGACCGGTCTCTCCTCCCTTCCTCGGCTTGGTTGCTCTCCACTTGGCCTAAGTCTCAGACAGACTGGTAACCAAGGTGCGTATTCGCAGCTCTGACTCACATGCTTGAAGCTTAACGAGCTCAGGAGGCGGGGGCGATTGTATACCTAGGAATCCCAGAAAAGACGCTTTCCGAGCCCGTGACTAATCCAGGGGCAGGAGTTACGAAGATGCAGCCCGGGCACCACGTTCTCATTCCCAGTAGGTCCGTACCTACCAGCTCTCGCTCAACTGTCGCCCGATTTCCCTTCCTTCCTAACAGCCCTGACGTCCGGTCACGGAGTCGCGCCCATTTCATCTCAGCAGCTCTCAGATCTGTCCTTCTGTCCTGACCGCTATCGCCCCGAGTCAGAGCCGCAGCATCTCTTGCTCAACTATTTCAGTTGCCTCCTGTCTGGTCCCCTGGCCCGCCTTGGACCCACCCTCCCAGGGACACCAGGGTGATTGCTCCAACTGTAGTAACCCGCCCCCATGTTTCGTAGCGCTAAGCGCTGCTCCACGAGGAGAGTCACGATTCCTCAGCCCTCAGAGACCTTCCAGAACCATCTCCCGATCACCTTGTGTGACCAAAACCAAACCCGTTTTGCTTTTCTTCCAAACCCTAACCCAATCTCGGTGACATGTATGACACGCATTTAAGTACCGCAGCTGAGATTTTGGTCACTTTCAATTCCTTTCTTTCTACCTTATCTGTAACATACAGCCATTTTCCGGCTCCTGCGGCTCTAGCTCCAAATGAGTCTCTGCCTGTTTCACTCCCATCATCCGGCCTTACCCAGGCCTCTTCGTAGTCTTCCTCCTTCCGGTCACGTGCATGTAATGCCTGCCCCTTCCTTCCGGTCCCGCCTCACACTGCCGCCTGGCTAACCTTTCTTAGGCCTTCTCTAGAAAAACCTTCAGTGGCTCCCCATAGTCCGCTGGAAGCCGCCCTGTGGTCTTCAAGACCACTGAGAGCGTGGAGCCCGTCCCACGTGGCCTGCCACAGGTCCCACGGCCCCACACCCTGCACTGCCCTGGATGCCCCCCTGCCTCCGCTTCTGCTATTGTCCCTACACACAGCGAGTTCTTTGTATCTGCCTGAAGAAGCCCTTCTCAGCCCGGGGGGCCCAGGCCTCTTCCTTCATGATGCCTTCCTAGATTTCCCTAGCCAGACTTAAAATAACTTTGTGCACCCGTTCAAGTTTATCCCTCTATCACAGAGATGATCTGGGCCTGGTTACTGAGCCTGAAAGTGACTAATTGTTCAGCAACATCAGTACCAATGCATGGGAAGTGCCACTCCTTACCCACTCAGGAATGTTGGGAAAGTTACTGAGCCTACTTCGCATTGACACAAAACATTAATGCCTATCTCTCAGGGTTATTTTATATATAACCCTGTATATATATATATATATATATATATATATATATATATATATATATACACACACAGTTTCTGGTGCACAGCAGTTACTTGCTCCTGGAGTTAATCTGACACCTCTCTGAAGACATCACATCACTCTGTGAGCTGTCTTCTCTCTCTTCCAACATAAGTCAGCCCACTTTAATAACCTTAATCTTACTTTATAGGATTCTTGTATTTGTTGAAAAAATAAATGTACTCTAAAATCCTAGACACCCCCACTTCCGGAATAGTGATTTATGGGATATGCATTCTTTTATGTGATGAAGGCACAGCAGAAGTTACAGTTCAATTCTCATGAATGGATCTGAAAGCTTACCAGAAGTCCAGGCCAGTCACGTGACCCCTGCACGTCTTATCAGTGAAATGGACAGAAATACCTGCCCTTTCTTACCTTACAGAGTTGTCCTGAGGTGCACATGGAAAATGTAGCTGTCGGGAGAAAGGGCAGCATTCCTACAGACGCTGCAGAACAGCTGTCCTAATATTCATGTTAGAGTCGATTCTTTCAAATGAATCTCTCAGTTTCTTTTGTTCAAGTCCTACAGAAAGCTGGAGGTAGTGCGCCCCCTGCTGCTGAACGGTGAATACATTTGGTTGTTGGTTAAAGGGATAAGATACTGGAAACAATGCCTCATTACAATAAAGGTAAAGTACTAAAATTAAAACATGTTAAATCTTCGAAAAGGAAGCAACTACTTCAATGTAGTAAGAGTGTGACTTCCATTCATCCTGCCAGGAGGAAGGTGAGTAAAAGTAATCCTAATCAGAGTTCTCCGTCCTGAAACTTTCTTACAGGCACCTCTCCTTGGGGGTCCTTCACACACCCCGCTCCCTGAGCTCTCTGCGCAGGGGGTTCTGGGGCCCTGAGTTACACACATTCTCCTCACCCCTGCCCCAGGCAAGACCGGAAATTCCGGTTAATGTCATAAACTTCTTAATTCACTGGATGTTAGCTGACATAGATCTCACAAAGCATTAACCTACCAACCATTTAACTTATAAGCTACTTGTCTCCAGTTGCTTAATAAAAGGTTTTGGCGGCCTTTTAAAGGAACGCCATCGCAGATGAGTTTTTTTCTTTCCTTCTTTTCTTTTGGGGAAGGAGGTGGTGGTAGTTATAATGGGCAGTATAATGGATAGAAAACATCTTAGTTCTCACTAAGGTATAAGGTATGCATGTCCTCCAAGAGAATCGTTCTCAGGTATAGAAAACCTGTCTTACTTATTTTTCTATTTGTAATCCTCAGAGAAATGACAATTGATCACTCACGGTTGATGTGCAACTGACGTTTGTAGAATTAATTCAGCTTGATTTGCCTCTCTCAGGCTGACAAGAAAGGTCAGCTCAGCATGCCCCTCCAGAGAGCGATCCTCAGCATGGGTCCCCCGAAAACACTCCTCAGACCCAGGCGTGGCCCTCAGCATTCCTTCTAGGGTTCCCAGGATTTCTTCTAGGAATCCAAATCGAACCTTCATTTCCCAGACCTCCAAGGCTCCCAAATGAAGTACATTCTTGGATTTGGAAATGTACTTTAACTAGGTCGCAATGTCTTCATACTGATGTCCTGGAATGCATTAATACTATTTCTATTATTTCCACCTCTGGCTCTGAGGCTTCCATTAAAAAAAAAAAGTATCACCACAGTATGCCTTTTCATTTCTTAATGATGGGTAACTGAGAAAATATACAGAATCCAGTAGGACCAAGAATGCTTCCCATCAAGAGTTGTAAAACTTCGTATCAACATTTTTGGAGATTATCTTTCAAATTTAACATTTAAAAATATATATACTTTTCAATCTAAAGGAGAATTTGCAAAGTTTTCAAAGAATCAACTTCTCACCAATTCAGTAAACCATTATACCATTAATCTTTTATTTTTCATTGCATATATCAGTATTTTACAGAAAAAAAGAACCCCATAATGTTAAATTCCAATTAATAACATTCTCTCCAGATTCTTTTCCGTGTACATAAATATAAACAGTAAATATAATAACTTATGTTCCAACACTTTGAGTCTCATTAACATTCTTCTAAATAATTTTCCATATATGAATATTATTTAATGGCTACATAACAGTTTTTGACAGCAATAGCAATACACAAAATGTTATTTATACATTTGTCAATTATTGGTCTTTTTAAAAAAAACTGGAATGAATGGAATTACTAGAAATATCATCATAAAAGTAGTTTTTTTCTTTTATCTTCCTGGATATATGCTTCTCAAAGTGAGTTAGACCTATCAAAAGATAGATTGGTTTTAGAGCTCTTATTATAATTTTCTAAATAGTTCTTTAAAAAACACTACTAATATGACAATGCCACTGGAATGAGGAAAGATGTAGTTGAAAAATTTTTGGTATTAGCATGAACTAGGTCGAAGTTGTTTCAAATTGCATTTTTAATATTAGGAAATCTGAATATCATTTAAGAATTTATTTTTATGTGTATTTTCTCATTTGCCCTTATCCTTTTAATAAATTTGCCTAGTGGAAAGGAGAAAATTTTATGGATTTGCATCTCCCTTTTAAAAAATATTAAATACTTAATCCATATATAATGTAAGTAGCTTTTTTAAATCCACTCTCATGTTTTTAGTATTTATATTTTTAATTTTTCTCTTTTAACCTTACCTACCTACCTAATGATTTCCATTGCCATAACGTTTCCTTTGTATCCTTATTGGAATGAGAATGGTAGTGTTTTTATTTCTAACTCGATACTTAACATTTTAATTCATGTGGAATGAATTGTTATGATATAATTTGGGTCTAAAATTTCTTTTTTCATACTGACATCCAGCTAGTCTTTCCACTGGCAGTTATTATGTATTTATTTCTTTCCAGCTGCCTTATTAGTCTTAGTTTAAACTTTCAACTTAGTACATTTAGAAATTTGCTTAATAGCACATTTTGAGGATTTGAGGTATGACTCCCATTTCCCCCCTAAGTTAAAAAGACATATCTTTCCTTGCTTATGTTCCTAAATAATTTATCACAATTCCCACAAATTATCTTCTAAAAACATCTAGCTGGAATGTTAAGTGGCAGTATAGTAAATTTCCATGCTGACATCACCCATTCCCATTCCTTTGGACATTTCATGCACATTAATTTCATCCTCAGAATAATGCTGCCAAGTATTATTTGTATTTTACAGATGATGCAATAGAAGCTAGGAGTGACTCTCCCAAGACTATACAACTGGTAAGGTGTGAAGTGATGACTCTGATTGTGGTTTTCCGACCGCCCATTTCCTTCTTTTCCATATATGAGGATGGAGTTCCTTCAGCCGACTTCTGCATAAGCATCTTTCTTAATTTACCCCAATGTTGCTGTAGAACACTTTTTAAATTTGAGCTTGTCACTGAGGCAATCTAGAAATGAAATTAATTTTTTAAAGACTGTATATTCTGCAACTTCCTGAGTTAGTCTTCTACTGTATGTTTCTATAGCATAGGTTTCACTAGTTACAAAACCATGTTATAGAAAACATTTGTGCCGCTTTCTTCCCGCATCTTCCCCACTTTGTGAATGCTCGTTAAGATTTTATTCCAACGAGCTCCTTCAAGCATATATAAATAAAAGTGGTGTCAAGGTTGTTTGATTTCTGATTGGGAAATGTTTTCTATATATGTGCCTAATCGGATGATGTTAGTTCTTGGTTTTAAGAAGTTATTTATCACACTATGAGGAACCAGTAAAATCCTTACCAGAGATAATTAAATCAAGATGAATGATGTTATTCAGATTTTTAAAGTTATCTGTAGTTTGAATTTTTTGCTATTTTGCTCTGTTGAACATTGGCTTTATAATCCTGAGTCGTAGGAAATAATTACAGGCATACCTCAGAAATATTGTGGGTCCAGTTACACAATAAAGCGAATATTCCAGTAAAGTGAAGTCACACGCATGTTTTGGTTTCCCGGTGCATATAAAAGTTATGTTTACCCTATACTGCAGTCCATTAAGCATGCACATTATGTCTAAAAAAGCATTTAATTGCTAAAAAATGCAAGTCCTCATCTTTTTGCTGATGGAGGGTCTTCCTTTCAATTTGTGAAAAAAAGTAGATCTACAAAGTGCCTAAAGCAAAGTGCAATAAAATGAGGTCTGCCTGCATTTTATTTGTATATTATTTGACTGTGTGTTCCATTCTGCATCTGTTCAGAATGAGACCCTTTTCAAAATGTATGACTTCTAGTATTAAGGCCATATTTACCTCAAGGATTGGCATATCATACTTAATGACATATAAATGTGTTATTTATCCCTTGAATATTTGAAAAAATACAATAAGCTCATTAAGGTAAGATTCTAACTCATCAGAAAATTATACTAGCTTACAATATCCCCTAATTTTTAAGGCTTTTATTGGTTATAACTTTTCTCATTTGATTTATTTGCATTCAAGTAGTTTTTTAAACCACCCTTATTTTGGACTAGTTTAACACTTTATTTTGTTTCTATTATGCCCAGCTCTAGCATTTTTGCAGCTTCTCATGGCTTCTTTTCTCAATTCTTATAATATTCATACTGAAAATTGTTTCAGTGGGTCTGGGTTACTTTCACCTACATTTTGTCATCTTAAGTTCTTCTTCATTTTAATGACTAATTTTTAGGTCTATTTCAGGCATTTTGGCTGAAGCTTAAACTTTAGGATCCACCCAATAACCCCACTTTGTTATATTTTTAAAAACATATAAAATATTAATACTAAAGTATGGCTTCTCTACTTCCGATAAGGTGTAAATTACTTAAGTCTTTATTTAATTTTCCTCATATACAGAAGAGCAGCAAGACTATTTAGAGCATATTTTGGCTTAGTACATCTATATTTTTTATGCTACCGTGTTCAGATCAAAAGATACATTAAGAAGCATTATTTTGTTACAACTTAGCCAAATTGTTTCAATTTAGGTACTCAGCTCTAAGCTACATTTTAAATTTCTTTTTAAAAACTATGTTTATTGATTTTAGAGAGGAAGCGAGAGAGAGAAACATCAATCAGTTGCTTCTTATATGCGCCGCAACCTGGATAGAACCCTCAGCCTTTTGGGTTGCAGACGCTCCAACCAACTGAGCCGCACCGGCCAGGGCTTCCTCAATCTTCACCTTTCTCTGCTTCAGTAACAAGCTGAGAGACCAATTTCTACCAGCCTCTCTTCACCAGCAACACTAGACTGACGTCATGGGCATTTTCCCACCACAGTGCTGCACTCCTCTGACAGGTGACGTTAGGCGGAAGACTGAGATCATGAAAGCATGGATTCCGATGCTGGCTCTTCCCCACGCCAGACTCTGAGCAAATTATGAATTAAGTCTTTATTTCGTCTTTGAAAATGTATTCAGTAACTTCTGCCTCTCGGGGTTGAGACACGTTAATGGGAGAGCGGGGTCAGTGCCCAGGTCATAGGGAAAGCCCACATGCAGAACAAAAAACCGGGACTGTGGGCCCTACCCCTAGAGGACCACCACTCTCCCACGGAGGGATGCAAACGGGACTAACAGGGAAGGACCTCTACCTCCCCCGACAGCTCGGGGCTTTCACCGCTGCAGTAACATCACCTTTATCACTGCCGGCGGTTCTGGAAAAGTTATATATTTCCTTCCTCTGCACAGATAACAGCCAAGAGGCAGAAACGATTATGGGGTGTGTGGGATGGGGCACATCAGAAGGGATATGGTAAGCAGGTCCTTCTTAGATTCACTTCTGTCAGTTGTAGTTGGTGCCGCTCACTGCAGAGGCAGAGCCAGCAAGGAGGAAGGTTCGCCCTCACTGAGAAAGCTCAGAGTCAACTACAGATTAAACCGGACTCCCTTGGTTTCTCCTTGGGAATCTCAGAACAGCCATGCTGAAGTATCTTTTTCCTGGGGCAATTTATTTCTTCTTTTGGCCTCAGTTACTGTTTAGACATTCTTTTCTTTTAGGTGCCAGAGCAGGGTTCTGCAGAAATTTTCTGAAGTATTAAAGCAGAACTAATCTTATCCCCTAGACTGTCTTTGGACCGAACCTCCCACGGGTGAGCTCTTCAGCAAGTGACCGCTGGGGCACTTTTTCAGATGTAGAAGAGTGTGGTGGCGATGCTGCCACATGGGGTACAAAGGTCAAGTAGGAGAATTCAACAGTAAGACAGATTGTAAACATGAGACCTTCACAAATACAGGATCATGCAAAGCTAACTTTTTAATTAGACAAATGTATTTTATATTGGCACTTGCATTAGTTGCTATTGCTACTGTGTATATATTTATATTATATATAAGAGACCCCATAATCTACTGTATATGAGTTTTACTCAGAGGTGGTAGCAACCGTAATAGCTGCAAAGTAAAATATTCCTTAGACACTGTCATTGTAGACAATAACACCTGGAGATCATTAGCATATACAATACCACCTTCCTTTAAGCACAGTTGCTAATATGGAACCCTCACATTAACACCCAATACTAAAATAAAGCTAACTCTGTTTAGGATTCTGGATCATGGAGTACACTCTGAAACGAACAGTGCAATAACCAGTAAATCAGTTACTGATAGGTTAACAAAGACACCCAATGGCTGAAACGTCTCAAAGAGAATTAAAGTCTACATCTGCCTAGCATCCATCACATAACCAGTTCTAATTACTCATGTAAGAAACTGTCCTTTAAATGAGAATATTCTGATGCTAGGACAAAGGTCCAAAGTAGCATTTCCAGTTTCCCTTCTTCTAATTTTGAAGACTTTCTATGTTCTTGCTTCCTTCAGAGAGCTCTGGTTTGGCCATGAATACATTATTGGCTCCGGAAGCCTCTGGTTGCTTATCATCACCATCATACACAATGTCTTCTGGATTGGGAGGTGGCGGGCAGAAGTCTTTACCCGGAAAGATCTCCCGGAAAAGGGTTTCGGCTTGCTCGACCGCGTGCTCGCTTCCCAGCCCCCAGTCAGGCCCAGAGCAGACATACACATTGGAAGGTAAGCCATTATAGGAGCTCCTGCGGATTCCCGAGGAGTCTCTCATGTTAAAATAAAGGGCCCACAAGAGCCTTGGCTTTGTAAGTTCTTCCTCGTCTACTTCCGTTTCAACCCATGGGGTGAACAACTTCTTCACCACTGGTTCCAGGTCTTCTCTTGCTGTTTTAGAAGACGAACAGGTCAGATGTACCAGATAGGTGTCTTTCATGCACGTCATAGTTGAAGAACACAATTCAGTGACCCGGACGGCACACGTCCCTGGTTCCGCTGGAGGCACCATCAAGACGGAAATCTGCTGATCTGAATCTGTCTTCAGTACAGATCGATCCGTAATGAGCACTGCCCTGGAGATCTGCTTATACTGCACATTCGCGCATGTGTCCTCAGAAAGGGAGCTATCCTCCACAATGAAATGCTCAGCATTTATTCTTTGGCCAAAGTGATCGATAATTGCTTTGCACCTTCTGGATTCTTTGTCCACCACAAGGCACTGCACTTGATGGCGAAGACAGTAGATTCCACCGAACACTGCACACATTCTGCAGAAACACTGGGGAATTTCCCCTTGGCCGTACAAGGGAAATAAAAACGGAGTGTTGCCAAACCGCCCAAGACACTGAAGGAACTTTTTTGTTGCTTTAAGGCCGTCTAGTGTGGTGCAGGATGGCTCTGTCATTGCGATGGAGTGCAGTATAAAATGCTGGAGGTTGGGGGTTAGTTTTTTAGTGTGCAAGTACTCTGCGAAAGAGCACTGGATGGAATCCTGGTATTCATCAGGATGCCGGTCATAGTCTAAACAAAATGTAAGAAACTTCATTAGCATCCTCTTTTCCACCATAGTGAGTTCTTTGCTATTGAAGACATCTGCTCTGGAGCAAGGCACCTGTTCCACTTTTCCTTCTCGAAAAGCAAGAATCCTAGTGACATTTTTAAATTCGGCATAGCGACTGACATTTGATTTGATTAAAAGATCAATCAGCAATCCTCGCGAATACAGCAACTTTGACACCAAGTCAATATTAAACCTCCTGCCTTCTTGAACTATTTGAGAGTAAGTAATCCTGTTTCCCTTTGGTGGATCAGTGTTGCCTTCTACTACAGGTTTGTTTTCGTCTTTATCTCTGTCTGAAACCGTGTGTACACAAGTTTCATCTCCATGGTATTTTTTCTCTTTCACCTGAGTTTCCTTTGTATCAGTTACTTCCAGTAAGGCTTCCCCATCGTTGTTTGGAGTATCTTTGGCAGGCATTTCGAAGCTGGTAACGTATGAGTGTGTTTCTTCAGCCAGGCATGCAGCATCCAAAGGTTTAGTGAGGGTACCAGATGCTGCAAAGGAAGGACTTTTCTGCAAATCCTCAGTCTCTTCAGTACTGTTGTCACCCACATCCTGACCGGCGTAACAAAACACTTCTGCGTGCTGAATGGTTTCGTCCCTCCTCCGAAGGGAGATTGCTCCTTCTGTTTCCCGGATCAGGTCTTGCCACGCAGCAGTGCTCCCGTCCCCGACGTCACTGCTTTGCTGATTCTCCTTCAACCAGGAAAGCAACCCAGAAAAGGTGAAACTGGCCCAGTTTCCTCCATAGTAACTTCTCGCATCGAGATGGAGGACCCTCTGACCACTTCTTGAACAAGCGGCGGCAAGGATGGATTCAGGCAAACCTGTCCCTATAACGACCACATCAAACTCCGCAGGGAGACTGTTCGCCATCCTGGAAGGGCGAGTGTCTGGTGACAACGGCCAGTGAAGGAAATGTGTATGAACCCAGGCTGAGGGCTCAGAGGAGGAGTGAATATGCTGCAATAATACGCTGCAATAAAATCTCTGTTTGTGAGGGTCCAGATCACCCCAGAAGTCCCGAGGGTGCAGGTCCTAGCTGTGCTGTTGCCCTTCTTTAGTGTTTTTTTTATTTTATTTTTTACAGGTCAGTAGCATAAAAACCTGATAAAGGACATCTAATCACATCTGAGACTAATAAAATGGATGGGTGGTTTTCGTTTCTGCATTTCATCTTAGCAGTAAATGTCAAAATGCATCACGTATGCATTTGTGACTGGAACTTTTCTGTGAAAGAAAATTCAAGAATACAGTTGTAAACAATATTAGGAGAAAAGTACGTTCATGCAATAGCAACTACAAAAGCCTCTACTAAAGCAAGTCAGGAAATGCTTTCCCACATATTTTCTAACTTTTTGGAAATGAACAATAGCGATATACTCCCCCAAAGCAGGCAATTCAGTAATGGAGAATGGGTATAATAATATCCCAGAATAATAAAGAACTAATGTAATTCTGTAACTCTTGCTTTTAAGAAAACTAGTATTTGAATAAAACGATACACAACTGTGACCTTAGGCTGTAAGAAGTGTGTGGCTCCGCGGTGTTGATGGAAACAGTGCGTGGCACGTGCGCGCTGCCGTCACTAGGAACATCCCCGGAAACAAACTACGCAGCAGGTGCACGCTGCCGGGACTAGGAACATCCCCGGGCCCAACGCAGTCTGTGGGGCATTGTAGGGCAGCTGGATGGGAGACTTCTACTCCCTGCCACCCTTAGGATCTCATGGTAGAAACATGAGACTATCTCAGCAGCATTAACTAGATTGTTACAAAACCAATGATTCAGTAGAACAGCTGGCATTTTAAAATATTTAAGTGCGTAAAAGAATAGGCCCACTGAATGGAAAATGTATTTATGACAAATCTTTACATAATATGAATGTACATATGCATGTGTATGTTTTTAGGTGCAAGTTAAAAAGAAACCCCTGGGTTCACATGTTCAAACATCTTCACATAAATAACACCTACTTCTGCCATTGGAATAGGGTGACTTGCGTTTTTCCAGACTCGGGCTCTGAGACCCAGCATCTCTGTCTCATGAGATAAAGGTCTAAATATCTTCTGCCTACGTTAACCTGTTGTTTGGGGTTCTTGTCTTTGAAGGGGCAAAGGCTCTCCTGTTCACTTCGGGCACAACACCGGTTACGTTCCACGTGTAGAACACCTGTGTGGCGCTGGGGGTGGGGGATGGGCGGCCAAAGGGGTGGAAACCACACTCACCTAGAAGAAGTCTTCAGGCCAAAGAATGCGCGTGCTAGGGGGCCTGCGATCACTCATCATTGCCCAGTAAGAGTGAGAGCTCTTTGAGTGCTGATTTTCTCCAGTATTAAACTTACTAGCCTACACCAGTACAATCTGGGCCTGCCTGGGCTAAGATGACTAGTTACCTTGGATATCTGTAAAACAAATCATTCAATCGGAACTGAAATCAACTAGCTCGCTGAACTGACCAGTTTCAGAGACGTGACTATCTTCATAGTCCTGTCTAGTCACAGCCTCTGCCCCAAGAACATCAGGAAATCCACTTGTTTCCAGCGTTCCCTGAGAACCCAGGAACTGAGCACAGAACAAAGTGGCTGCCTGACCCTCTCGTGTATATACATATATATACATATATCTGTCTCAATTACTGAGACTGCCTTCTTCCAGTAGAGGGTGCGGAAGAAGACAAAACCCACAGGGGTCTATGAAGTATAAGCACAGTGTGTGCTTATCCTTGAATAAGAAGATATAGCTGAAATAAGAGGGAGTATCGCTCAGGGGTAGAGCATTTGACTGCAGATCAAGAAGATATAGCTGAGGGTGGGAGTAAGACACGAGGATACAAGACCTAAGTGCTAAAATCGGGGACCTTCCAACCTACAACTATCAAAGGAGTTCTCAAAACACACAGCAAGTAAGACAAGACAACCTTAAAGAACATTTAGCTCGGTTATCCCGTAATAGAGATGGTGCGAGGGCTGAAGGGATGAAGTGATGGCAAAGTTCACACAACGGCTTGGCCCCGGGGTCAGGAGGACCCACTCAGGCTGGTGGTCTTTCCAGGTGATAGGGCAGCCTCTGCAGAGGCCTCAGAAGCAAGCAGCCACTTTCAGCATTTTTAACACGGCCCCCCTCCCCCGCATTGCTCCAGGATTGGTTAGTTCTTGCTCAGAGATGACAAAGGGAAAACCACCCTCCCTTTCCCCACCCTTAACTCATATCTAGAAGCACAACCCTTAGTACTGACTCCAGGCAAAGAAATTAATCTTTGCTAACAATTTTTTAAGCTCCATCCTAACCTGCTGTTGACTTATCTCCCAGCGTTTAAACAAGCCTCTTAATCGCTACCCCCGAGTCTTCACCTCTAATTCACAAGCAGTGATGGCCACCGTTGAAAACACTAACTAGGCATCCAGAGAAATCAAGTAGTCATCGGAAAAATGCCGTGTGGTGAATGTTTCTAGCAGCCTGGGAATACCTATTCCTTCTGATGGGGGTGGGGTCTGAGTCGGGATGCCCAGAGTGAAAAGGGACAGCAGAGGCCCGGAGACTCTGCAGGGAGGGGCTCCCCCAGGAGGATGAGGAAGAGACAGAATGCTGGTACTAACAAAAGAACTCCATAAGCCCTTGTTTCTGAACTCCCAGCACAGAGCTGGGCTAGAAATAGAATTTCCTAGCCCAGAAAAGGCACTCCTTGTAAACGAGAAATTTTGTGTCTGTGACTAAATACTGATTCCTCATCCTACGAAGCGTCACTGATGACACTTTCGGCTGCAGCTTGAGTCACCCTCTCTAAAGCCTAGCCCTTAAATGGTAATGGAAAAAATATATAACAAAGACTAAATTTAAAAAAATAAACTTCACCCTGCCTAAAAAATTTCCTGATAGGTATTTTAAATTAATATAAAGAGGGTAATCACATAGCCATCTATACTACCACCTACATACACTTACAGCTCCTCCCAAGTTTCAAAGCTCTGTACAGGTGAAATTCTCAGATTAGTGCTTACTGGGGAGAGAAAAGATAGTATCAGAATAATAGCATCACTGAAGAAATCAAATAGATGGAATCATCATTTCTATGACTGTTTCCTTTGAAATATCAAAAATGAAACATAACAAATACAATATTTCAGTTTCTCAAAATAAGAGATTGGTGAATAAGAAAATTTTGATAACACTACAAAGATTTTGTTCTCAAAAAACCCCTGCCAACTTCACCCAGCCTTTCAGAAAAGCCAGCCCTGGCGGTGGGACTCTCAGAGCCTGGCATATTCCAGGGTGGTGAGGCTGGGTGGACGCAAGGGACACAGTTAGGGACGAAGACACTGAACGTGAAGTTGGTTCAGATGTTCAAGAGCTTCCTCCTGTCTGTCCCACTGAAGGCAACAAAATCCTGGGCAGAGTACCTAGAGAAGCTGGCAGCAGGACAATCGGAGAAGGAAACCAGAACTTTTAGTACCACTGAACCTGTGGCCATAAAACAAATCTTAATAGATTTAGAACATTAGTGTGTTCTAATTATAATGAGATTAAGTTACAAATCAATAAAAAATAATAGGACAACCTCCTAACACTTGAAAATGAAAGAACATGCTTCCTGATGGGTCAGGAAAGAAATCTCAAGGGAAAATGGATCTACTTTGAATAGAACAACAATTAAAATATGAAATTGCCTACTTAGAAGAGAACAATGAAAAATCAATCTCAGCTTCCATTTTAAGAAATGAGAAAGCAATAAAGAAATAACACCAATTCTACACAAACTTCCCAGAAAACTAGGAGGAATGAACATTTGCATTTGTTATTCCAGCATTACCCTGCTGACAAAACCAGAAAAGGACATTCAAAGAAAATGAAGGCCAATATCCCTCATGAACGTAGAAGCAAAAATTCTTAGCCAAATTTCTGCAAATAGATTCCAACAACATATAGAGAGAAAAATACATCGCAACTACGTAGAGTTTATCCCAAGAATTCAAGATTTGTTTAATATTCAAAGCTAAATGTAATTCACCAAGAGATCATCTCCAAAGATGCAGGAAATACTTTTGACAAAATCTCATTGTAAAAACTCTCAGCCAGCTAGGAAGGGAAGGGAACTCCTCACCCTGACAATGGACATCTATGGAAACCTACACATAAGCCAAAACTATCTTGAAAAAGAACAAAGAGGACTCACACTTTCTGATATCAAAACTTACTACAAAACTACAGTAAACAAAACAGTGTGGTACCTTCATAAGGATGGTTGTATAGATCGAAAGAAGAGAATACAAAATCCAGAAATAAACACTCACATGTCTCATCAATTGATTTCTGACAAGGCTGCCCAAAGCATTCAACGTTGAGATGATAGTCTTTTCAATAAATGGTGCTGGGAAAACTGGATATCCACGTATAAAAGAATGATGTTGGCCCCTTACTTTTCACCATATATAAAAATTAATTCAAAATGGATTAAACCTATGTTACAAACAATGGATCTGTTTTTATCAAAGCATACCAATATGTTCCTGGAGTAAAAAACCTCTATAAAATTACTAGGGCAAAGAATTTATGATATTTGTAATTGAGCTAAGCAATTATCTTCAAAAGAAAAAACAAAAAACCTCACGTTGTATTAAATTGTATTCTTACTAACAGAACTCTAGAGAACTTCTATTTTCCCTTATCTCTTCACAATTTTCCCAGCCTGACAGATACAATACAGCATCTGGCAAAAATATATATATATATATATATATAGCTCACTGCTATTCTACCTTTCATTTTCTGAATCCCCCTGAGCTTTTTTCATATTTATTAGCTACTGGTATTTCTTATTCTCTGAATAACCTGTCATATAATTTGCTCAGTTTCCCACTGGACTGGTTTGCTTTACTTGTCGGTCTATAGAGGCTGTGCATGTGTACCACACATTACGGCTCTGTTACGCATGTATTATGAATACTTATCCCAATCTGTCATTTGTCTTTTAACTGTCTCTCATCCTGCAGAAGCTTTTACTTCTAGGTACTCAAATCTGTCATATGCATTCCTTTTTAAAAATTACTTTTGAGTTTTTTCAATTTTTAGAACTTTATATATTAAAATTTTTAATCCATCTTGTGTTCATTTTTGTGTTCAGTGTGAGATAAATTACATTATTCCAAATAAGCTAAAATGTCCAAAAGCTACATCTTTAATAATTCTGTCTTTCCTCCAACTAATTTGAAATATCATCTTTATAACATATCAAATCCTCATTTATGCATGGGTGTGCCTCATAATACTTCTGCCAGAATCATACCATTTTGGTTGCTATAGATTTGTAATATATTTTGCTGTGTGATAATGCAAGTATTTTCTCCTCATTCTTTAACATTTTTTCTCAACTATTCTTTTTATTTTTCAATTTTACCAATAAACTTAAGAATGAATTTTCCACGAAAAAAAAACCCTGCCAAGATAAAACAGTAATAAAGTATCAGTGGAATTCAGGATTTTTTTAAAAGAAACTTTAACACCTGAGGAATACATATTTCTATTTCAAATAATACACATGAAAACCTAGAGCACACACAAAAAGATCATTTCTTTCTTAAGCTTAGAAAATCATATCTTCAATGATATGCTGGGTGGATCACCCTTCAAAATGTCAAGTCCCAGTGAGACTTAAATCTTCTCTAAGGATTAGATGTATTGTTGAAATAAATCTTCAATTAACAATCAAGTTCGACTTTAATGAGATCGACTGGCTGCACAGCTAAATTTTTGTTCATTTGAATTGGGATTCTCTGTGCTTTTTAAATCTCACCTTAGATTTTGGTGCACTGGATCTTATGAGGAGAAAAATATAGCACAAACAGCTTACAGGGCACGTGCCTATTTGCATCCTGAGGATCTGAATGAAAGATCTCACTTCCTAGGAAGCAGTCGAATTGTTTACAATTGCTAGTAAACAAAAAAAAAAATTTAATTGCACACTGCTGTGAGGTTTCTGCCTTCTCATTTTCAGAAACAAAAATAGTATGAATTAAACTTTCACCAACTTTCCAACTTTCACCATTTCATCACTTTTGTTCTTAAATACCTGACTCTATCCCTCATTCCTTTCCTCAAATTATACAAGGAGGTGAAAACCGAAATGGGATGAGCTGGACAGCGGCTGGACAGACCTGTGGAGGAGCTGGAGCTGATGATGGGTTGGGGTGTCGGGCCGGCCTAGAGGGAGATGAGCACCACAGGGACAGAGTCGAGGTCGGCGTGGGGCACGAATAGGTGAAGGAAGCAGGAAGGAACACCAAGCAGCCTGGGGCCCGGGGCAACTCCAGGGCAGAGCGGGGACGGGCAGGGCGAGTAGGAACCATGAGGCCAAGC